AACAACCCAAATGCATCCACGATGAAGGCACACACAGAACGTGGTCTCTCCATACAGCGCCTGTGATCCAGCCACAAGAGGGATGACACAAAGGAAGCCCTGGGATTTGCACACACGGACAAACTTGGAGAATGTGAGGCTGGGTGAAAGAAGTCAGACACAATACAGACACTGTATTGCTCCACGTATATGAAACATCCAAAGAGCAAAGTCCAGAGACAGAAAGGAGATCCGTGGTTCCCAGGGGCTGAGGGAAAAGGGGAATGAGAAGTGGCTGCTAATGCTAACAGAGTTTCTTTATGGGGTACTGAGAATGTTCTGGAATTAGATGGTAGTGATAGGACCGCATGTGAAATGACTAAAACCCACTGGATTGCACACTTTAAAAGCGTGAATTTTATGGTACCCGAGTTTTATCTCAGTACAATGGAAGAGGAGGAAGCAGACAGGACGGGGGAAGTGAGAGAGAGAGAGACACGGCCACTGTGAAGGCTGGAAGGAAAGACACCAAGAGAGAGGTTGTCTCAAGTGAGGTGAGCACAGGTGACTATTCTATCTTTCTAATTGTGACCACACACTGTTTTGTTATATAATAATAATAATTACAAAGTCACCTCCATTCCCCCCTCCCCCCAGGATGGGACTGAGCATTCCTGGGATGCACATCTTCCTGGGACGTGGTATGAAGTCACTGCCATCCTGGCAGCACTGGACCCAAGAGTGGGCTCTGTCAAACACACTTCCCATTCTCACGGTCTCCTCACTTTGAGCTAAGGCTGAGGTCCCCGGGGCTTGTGGCCTCTAGCTGTCCACTACCTGCTGCCGCCAGGCCGCCGCCGGCAGCCCTCACGTCAATTCCCAATTCATCGCTCTGTTTTCCAATGAACCCAACTTCTCGCTGCCAGGAAGTCCCTCCTTCCAGCTCCTGTGGTCCCAGGCTGCAGGGTATGTGCGGAATTACCCGAGACACGCGTACAGATAAATCATTAGGCACTGTGCATCAGGGGATGTTCACCTGGAAAATTCTTGCAACAACCCAGGGAAGTAGCTACCACCAATGTTATCTCCATCTGGGGGAGAAAACTAAAGCACAAAGAGATGGAGAACACACTCAAAGTCCCTAATTGTGTTTGTGTGTCAGAATCTGAACCCAGGCTCTCAGGCCCCGCTGCCTCCACTCTTAACCATTCTGCTATCCTGTCTCTCCGCAGGTCTTGTCCAAAGGACTTAAAGGTTTGACAGAAGACCCAAAGCAGCTCTAGATTGGTGGGTTATATGCTCACGAGGGGAAATGGTCTATTGTTCTTTCACGTTTGCAGTTTTTTTCCGTGCCAGCTTTTATCAGTTTTCTGACAAATTAACGCCACAGCATTTGTACAGCACATGTAACCAACTCCTGATAACAGTGTGCTTTGCAGGTCTTCTGGGCAAGGTCAACACACGTGGGCGGGGAGCTCACAGGCTAAGGGTTCAGACGTCCGTTTGAGGGGCGTGGGAGGAAAAATTTACTGTCAAAGCAATTAGTACCTGTGCCCAGAACAGCATTCTGCATTCTTGGCAGTGAATGGAAAAAAGTACGCACCCCACTCAGCGACCCCTCTGCTCACAGGGGAACCAGGCCGTCTAAGTCTGGCTCTTAAAAAAAAAAGTGATTTGCTGTTAGTCTCATTGAGACACATGAACAAGAGTGGCCCCGATAGTCTATGCTATGTGTTAGGGTCACAGTAATCTGAGCCTAAAAAGGAGACAGATGCAGCATACTCAAAGCCCCCAGTCAGGAGACACGTGTGGGAAGCCGCCAGCTCACCTCCCACCACAGGTAATGGGGGGTAAGTCTGCCCCTTTCATACTGTCACATGCGCTTACACACACGGTTCTTCTTCATAATTGGGTCCTACTATATGTAATGTTGATAACGTTTACTTTCTTTTATAAAAATATTTTTAATTTTTTTATTTTAAAAATTAAAAAATATATATGTTTTAACTGAGAGAGAGAGAAAGGCAGAGGAAGAGCAGGGGAAGAGAGAGAAAGAGAGAGAGAGAGAGAGAGAGAGAGAGAGAGAATCCTAAGCAGGCACCACGCCACGTGGCTTGATTCCGTGACTCTGGAATCATGACCTGAGCTGAAATCGAATGAGGCACTCAATTGACTGAGCCACCCAGGCACCCCCTATTTTGCTTTATAATCAGTACTATTCTGGTTTCTTCATTAGTGTCACTTTTAGGTATACTAGAATTATTGCTAATGTTTGTTTCCAGTTTTTTTGGTAAACACTGTAAATGAATATTCTTATAGCCATAGCTTTCACACATTAGTGATTAAGATTTGAGGATGCAGTCTTGGGTGTGGAATTGCCGGGTCAAAGGTATTCACACTCCTAAGCGTGAGAGCACGCTCCCTAGAGAGTTTGAGCAGGGGAGCGAAGTGAATCAATCTGGATACTTAAGAGATCAGGCTGGGTGCTCTAAGCAGAATGGAGGCACAGCAGGAGGCGAGCAAGGAAGGGGGACCGCCCCCCACGCGGCAGAAGGGGACAGGCTGGAACTCAGAGGGGATGCGGGGTACAGGGGTTCCGAGATGTTCTGGCACAGAAGCGACAGGATTAATGGTCCGGATGTGGGAGTTTAAGGAAAGAGGAAAGGGAAGAGGGACTTCCAGGTTTTGTTCAACTGGGTGGGCGTGGCGCGGTCTACCGAGGGGGAAGGCTGTGCGGGGCGCAGGTGTGAGGCCCTGCGGAGCCTGAGCGTTCTGTCCCGGCTGTGCGTGTGGGACGCCGCCCACGGTCCGTGTGGAGACACGGATGGGCAAGGCGGGCAGCTCAGGGGGGAGGTCAGAGCTGCAGGTAACGCTTCTGGATTCCTCTGAGTATAGACGGCGTCTAGAGTTCGGGCTTAGATGGGACCGCTGAGGGGAAGCTTACAGACAGGGAGCTGCAGGTCCCTGGGTCCCAACATTCAAAAGTCTGGCCGGGGAGGAGGCCAGCAGACGGGCCTGACGGAAGTAGTTAGTGTGGTCGGAATAAAAATCAGGACAGGGTTTTGTCTTTGATTTTGTTTAAGCCTTGAAGGCATTTTATAGTGGTGACAGGTGTCTGGGTTCAGGAATAGGCATGCAAGGTAAATGCGTGCCATCCCCTCTTCAGCAATCACTTTTTTCAGCAACAGAATTCTATTTTTTATTTCTTGGTTTGACATGGTGCTTTCTTCTGTATTTGATTTCTGGTTTTCTTGGGAGATATTACTGGCTCCTCCAGTATTTCTTCAAAATGCTCCCTTTCTGGGTGGTTTCCTCAGAGACCCCCTTAGAAGCCTCTTCCGCCTCCTCAACCTCCTTAAAGGACAGCACAGCGTATGAGACTTGGAAGGTTGTAGAACTGAGGATTCTAGGTGGGAGCCAACAACCTGGGCCTGGGCAGCACTATGGCGCCCAGAGAGGTCCACTTCCTAACGCCCAGGAACTATGGATAAATTATGTTTTACATGACAAAAGGAAATTAAGGTTGCCGATAAAATTAAGGTTGCTAATCGGCTGACCTTAAAATAGGGAGAATACCCTGAATTATCTGGGTGCACCCTGTATCTCCCATGGGTCCTAAAATCTATAAGCAGGAGACAGAAAAGTCAGGAGATGTGAGTGCAGAAATATGGCCACAGAGACTCAAGGCTCTGACGACCGACAAAGAGGGCCTCTAGAACCTAGACAGGGTAAGGACACAGACCCCTCCCCAGAGCTTCCAGAAATGGGACACGGCTCTGCTGACACTATATTTTAGCGGCTGAGACCTGCACCTCACCTGTGACCCACAGAGCTGTAAGGCAGCACATGTGGTGTTTGAAGCCACCACTTTCCAGGGAATTTGTTACGGTAGCAAACAGGAAATTAATGCAGCAAGCACTGCCCCCCAGATACAAGGGAAAGTGCGTACAATAGGGAGAGAGAGTACCACTGCGCCATATGCCGCGGAGTTTGGATGCCGTGACAATGGACAGTGACTGCTGAATTGAACAACATGGAAAGTGCTGGTGACCTAGATAGGAGCCATGTCCGTGCAGTGGTGGGGAGGGGAGGGGCAGACAGCAAGTGCGGACCCGAGCTTTGGGGGGGGCTCCCTGTTTTAGGGTTCAGAGGAATGGGGGCATAATTTCAGCAGGAGATGAAGGTCTAGAAAGGGCCTGTGTAAACATGCACATACAGTGGGGGGCTAACAGGTGCCAGACTGTGTGTGTGTGTGTGTGTGTGTGTGAGAGCGCGAGTGTGTGTGAGAGAGAGAAAGACAGAGACAGAGACAGAGCATGTGCACACGGGGCTAACAGGCAAGGAGAAAACTGAAGACCCAGGAGAGAGAGGGCCACCGGCAGACGTGAAGCCCCTGAGAAGTCCCCACACAGGTGCCCTCTCGCCCGAAGCACTCTGTGATCCCCCATCCGGTCACATCTACCCGTCATTCCTGCAGCACTCATTCTGAAACAGTGTGTTAACATGTAGCTTTTCTACAGTTAAAACCCAACGATCATCAGTTAGAACAGAAACACACTTCTGAGTATGCCCAAGCCCTTGTTGACTCATACTTAGACAAGCCGTTCTGGAGGAGGAGGAAGCAGAAAGTAGAAGTGGGGCCAGCCTACTGGCAATCAGACATACATCGCAGCCTCCTATCGATGCCAGAAAGAGCTGTGGGCTTTGAAGTACTTTATTTCCCAGCCAAAAAGGTGAGGCTTCATCATAATCGTTCAGAGGCTCATGTACACGAACATGTATCTTGCGTAACTTCACAAGCACAGCATCCAAAGGAGCTGTCATAGCCCCCCACCCCTGCCCCTGGCTGGCCACAGGCTTGTCGCAGCCACCGCCTCAATCATGTACATGTCCTCTCGTCGGACTTGGCTCTATCTCACCCATCTTGCCAAGGCTCCTCGTGAGATTAGAGAAACAGGCTGAAAAAAGGACACCAGGATCAATCACGGCAGAGTGTATTTCTCAACCCCAATGGCACTTACCTAGTTCGTCTTGGCAGAAGCTGTCTGGGGGGTTCACGTACTTCATGGTGCTCACATCCAACTTCCAGTTGTGCTTTGTGCACCTGACAGACCTGTGTGGAGAAAACACTGCACTGAGGTTTGTGAGATGGTGAAAATAGAATTAATCTCACTAAGCTTATGTGCATTATTTTGCAATGAAATTAAATGAGCGGCTTGAGCACCAACTATATGAGAGGGAAACTATTAATAGATGAATAGTCAGTACCCAAGGGAATATATAATCATCATCAGTAGGTGATTTAAAAAATGAAGCTCAAAAAATAATAAGTAAATGAATAGTGACATTAACTTCCAGGTCCTACAATGACACTAAAATGACGGATCAACAGAGCCAAGAGAATACAGTGGTCTTCAGGGATGGCTTGTTAGAGAAGAGCCGATGGGAGCCAACACAAGGAAAGGATGGAGTACTATATAATATACGTTTCTGATCTACGACTCTTGACCTTTGGCACAGTGTACCAGACCTAACTTCAGCTGAAGTATTCATGTTTCAAAGACGAAGGATTTCCTTATAGCTCAGAATTTCAGGGCCTGGTTGCCAGATAGAATAATGCCCCAATTAATATGAACTACAGATAAATAGTGAATATTTTTTTAAAATACGTACATCTCACACAGTTTGAGATACGCTGAAAATCTGTTGTTGATCTGTAATCCAAATTTAACTAAAATTTCTGTACTTTTGTTTGCTCACTCTGGTAGCCGTAGTCCTGAATGAGAATCAGGCTGTAACAAAACAGGATGTGTACTGATTTTCTCTTTCCATTTCTTACTGGAGCGTTGAAAAGTGGGTGGGGGCTGAGACATAAACAATTCCGCTTTTTTCGTGTTTATTTTGCTAGTGTTTATAGCGAAGTCTTTTCCTTGAATAGTTTAAAGAATTTAGAAACAAAACCAAATATGTCTCAAACCAGAAACATGAGAGGGTGTGAACTAAAAATGTGTTTTATTATTTTTTAACAGTTTTTAAATGTTTACTTATTTTTGAGAGAGACAGAGTGCAAGCTGAGCGGGGTGGGCAGAGAGAGAGGGAGAATCCAAAGCAGGCTCCAGGCTCTGAGCTGTCAGCACACTGTCAGACACAGGGCTTGAACTCATGAACTGTGAGATCATGACCTGAGATGAAGTTGGACGCTTAACTAACTGAGCCCACCCAGGAGCCCCTAAAAATGTGTTTTAACATATAATGGAACTCTGCTGATTTTTTTTAAGCTTCTTTATATCTACAATTTTAAAATATTCTTTTCTCATCAGCGAGTAGCCAACAATTGTGAAAATTCAGAGAAAACAGCCCAAATCAGCTCTTCGCCACGCTGGACTATAGAAGGAACGGCAGTGGGAACGTGAATGCTCCACAAACGAAGTGGGACCATAAATCCTGAGGCGGAAGTAGACAGGCAGGACAGAATGACAGCTTCGCACCCAAGAGGCCCTGTGAAAAACGGTTGCACTTGAGAACCGAGAGCCACAGCTTGAAGGGGCTGCGGTCCTGGGTTGTGAGTGAGGAAGGAAAATGGCTGGGGGCAGGGGGAGGGGAGAAGAGGTAGGTCATAGTTCTTGACCGGATCCTGGAAGGAAGAGATTCTTCTGGCGAACGGCTGCAGGAGAGGCTGCAGAACAGGGTGGCCAGATGTGGGGGGGGGGGGGGGGGGGGGGGAGGGCGGCGTAGAACCGGCTCTGGGAATTCGGTTTCAGCCAAGAAATGGTTGGTGAGCTGCACGTAGGATGGAAGGTGAGGGACCCGGGATCCCCGTGTGCAGGAGCCGTGTCAGGGGCGGAACTGGGAGGGGAGAACGGAGGCCCCGACAGGCTGGGACATCTGTCCGGGTCGCGGAGCTGCTAAGAGCCGGGGCCTCTGAACCGAGCTCCGGGAGAGAATCACTAAGCTGTGACTCGTCCTCCAAGGGCTGGTTAGGGGGGTGCGGTGGGAACGGGGAGCCGCAGAGACCCGAAGAGAAGACGAGCAGAGTGTCCCCACGCCTTGGGACGGGACGTCCCCGGGAACTGCCACCAGGCGGCCCTGCGTCAGGTCCTCCCGACCGAGTCCAGTGGGAAAAGGGAATAGAATCAAGACTGGGCTGTCAGCAAATTATCAAGAGGTTTTCCAGGGCACAGCTGACCGTGAAAGTATGTTCCGTGCAGTACTTGGACACATTTGTACTAAAAATGTACTCACTGTTTATCTGAAATGCAAATTTAAGAGGGAATCCTGTATTTTAGTTTTCCCAACCTAGCAACTTCATCGGAGGAGCCCAGCAAGCAATAGGTTCAACAGTGGGGGTTTTTTAATATGTAAAAAAGTCTAATAGTGTGTAGACTGGGGCCTGAAACTAACCATTCACAGGAAATGCATAGGCGAGTGTGAGAATGTCCTAGCCCCTAGTGATGGTCTCTGCACAGTGAGCAGGGAGCTTCTGAACAGCCACCCGGCTCCCTGGGATCATCCTGGTCACACATGACCTGATAAATGGGACTGAGAACACAGCGGGAGCAGAAAGCCCAATATGGGAATGACTAGCATCGTTCAGGTCAGGTTAGGCTGAAGCAGAGCTTGAACGTGGGGCCAATTTCTCAGGCACTGGTGCCAAGAAGCTGGCCAAAAACAAGTCGCCCCCACCCCTCCCCCTGCCTGGCTCCGCCAGGCACAGCTGTTATCTCTTTGGCAGTCGCTGGGAGCAAAACAAAACCACCCTCTTCTGGCATTGCTCCTGTGCCTGGGAGGTGCGAGTGTAAGGTGAAGGTTTAATCAAGGGGCCGGGGGCACCAGCAGAGCCACAGTCCGGGCAGAGACGGTGGGGACACTGTCCTTTCTGTTTAATTGCAATGAGGCTGGGGAGGGGGTGGATTTCTATCTGCTCGTAAGCAGGAGCTGGAAAAACCCACCGATCACACACACACTTCCAGGGCAGGGGCTATGCAAGCAGGCACGCGCACCCCCACACACTCACTCACACACACAGTGGGAGCTTTTATCAGGCCCATGAGGAATCCTGATGTTCTCCTGAGAGACAGGAAAACTGAGTAAAGGTCATAAAATGTCGAGATCAGAGAGATGCCCTAAATGAGCGCACGTACAAATTATGAATGTGCTCGGGGAAGGAATCTGTCGATGGGCTTGTTCAGAAGTTCTAAATGAGTACAGCCCTGCCTGCCACAGCCTGACCCTGATGGGGTCACCAGTGAGAACACAAAGAACCCTCGGTACCTTCCGTCTAAATCCTCGATGTCTTTTATGAACAGGCCTCCTTGATGCTTGCACATGTTTTTGCACGCTCTCACGCGACTCTTACTCTTGTACAGGATGTAATCCTTGCCCGTTTTCTTATTCCGAAAGAAATTGATTCCTTCCTTCAGATTAGCAACCTCTGCTGGTGACAGACACAACAAGACTTCCGTTGTCTGCTCGATGCTGTGAAAAGGCAGACATTTGGGGAGGAAAGGTTAGTTATGTTAGGAGTTAGGAGAGAATCCTTTAGAACTGGCAGCTCAAAGCCTCTTTTTACTGCAATATGCTTAAGCCCCGCCCTCTCAGCCCCAGGCTTGGCTGCCCCCCCTTGAAATGCATGCTCTGGTCTCTGCTTTCTCCAGAATCAGTGCCCCTGTCACTTGCCTGCCCATCGTCTGCAGCTGCCTCTCCCTGGGAATCCTGAAAGGATGGTAGGTGAGCTGCTAGCTTCTGTGGCTCATTTCCGAGATATGAGACAGAGGATGTATATGCACACAGATTCGGTTACACCACTTCCTCTGCCGTTTGGGCTCAGAGGCAGAATCCTATTGGGCTCCAGGAACCCACCCTATCCTGTCCACCTTCTGCATTGAGATCTGACCCTTTTGCTCACAACACGGTGTAACTTTCACCGTTAGTCTGGTTCACCAATCTCCAGGTTCAACTATAATGCAGTCGTTCTACCCCAGCCGGGGTCAAGCCTCCAAAGCCACCGCCAGGACAAGCCTGGCACATCTGAATGTCCCCTACCTTTCTGGGGAACATTAGAACCTCTTACTTGGCACGGTGCCTGGTTTGCTTACACACAGATGCTTTTCCACTCTCTCCCCCCATCGCTTAGTGGACTGCCTGCCACGAGGTGTATCTTTACCCACTAGCTACTTCATGAATTAACTTTCCCATGGAAACTCCATTAGAGTGATTTATATATAACAAACAACAACAACAAGCACTCCAGTAGCAAAGGAAACAGTTGATCTTGCGTACTTTTTTAAGGAAACTACAGAAGTTACACTTTTCCGACCCCAATTTCTAAACAACGGTCTTTCTGATGCAACTCTGAAGCATAATGGAATACAAGTTTTGCCAAGAGACGTTTCAACCTATCTTTTTACATGTACTGCAGATATTTGCATGGTTTGAGATCTGGGTGCGTGTTGCTTAATTTTACATCCTGTTCCAAAGCCAACGTGGTCGAAATTCTCTCCATGTGTTGACTTAGAATGGATTCAGCTCAAGTACATTTGTGGCGTTTTCACTTTCATTTTAGAAGTCCTGCAAATTTCTTAAAGCGGGAAATAAAAATAATTTTAAAAATCGCACCAAGATAGAGAGTAACAGGAAAGCTACTTCCAAGTTTGAACTGACATGGCATCGTTCTGTAATTGAGTATAACCCGGTACAATCCACTTTTTCCAAGATGGTGCCTGCCATCACTTTTGTCCCAAATGGCTAGTACTTCTGTTCACAACAGATTCCAATATTTCCCAAAATATTTCTTAAATGTATTTGATAGGGTGGAATCCATTCCATGCCGCATGAATTTCTTTCAACTTTGCTCTTCTGAGTACCAATATCTGATGCCGAGCCCAGCCAAGACTGCCACAATCCCTGGAATAATTAGCCTACAGGTATAAAAAGAAAATCTCGCTAACTATCCTGTTTTACTTGATTGAATGACTCGCTTAGCCAAAGTCCTGTGTCAGGTTGTAAGGCTTTCCACGCACCATGTAAAGCAGGCTGAGCTACCTACATCTGTGTCCATCCATTCTGTGAGAAGTCATGGTGGAATACAAGGCAAAAGAAAACATGTGATGGTCGAGGGTTGGGACCAACAGCAGAGGGACATCAGAGCTCACCTCCTCCCAGGGACTCAACAAATCCACAACTATATATGGACTGCTTCCCTTGGAAGGGGCCCTAGGGACTGGAAGGACAGAGCATCCACCTGTACTGAAATGGGGCAGAAGAGGCGGAGATCTGGTCTGTCTCAGGTATGGGACTTTCCCTGGGGAGTAAGAGACTCGGGCTCTGGATTGGCACCATGTTGGTCCAGCACAGGAGAAATGAGCCCCCCTAAACGCTAGCTTTAAACACTCACAGGCAATACATCCAGGACAATGATGAAACCGTAGGGAAAGGAACATTCTAAAAGGGCTCACATCGGATTTAAAAGTGCATGCACCACAGGTGAGGGACACCCACTTAGTAACCTTGGAGTACCCGCTGGAGAGGCAAGAGACAGCTGGCCCTCTCCCTGGGGACCGAGACACACTGGCAGCAGCAATTTTTGCTCTCATTCTGCCATGCTGTGAATGAGACCGTGGGTCCCGTTCTGGAATCCTCCCTCTAGACTGTTGACATCAGGCTGAAAGGACCCCACAGCCCTGCACCTTGGCAGACCTCATGCCAACAGGACACCACCAGCAGCAGCAGCAGCACGGCCACAGCAATCCTCCTTGGGCTAGGACAGCCAGCTGGGCTGGAAACCAGCCCTTCCCACCAGCACATGTGCTGCAGTCTCAGCCAGGTTCACGGTCAGCCACAGGTACACCCAGACAAGTCACCACCCTCTAACAACAGGGGTGTGCAAGTAACCCACACAGGGACGTCACTAAAGCACTGGTCTCTGGTGTCAGAGGACACTGCACACGTGGGTCCCACAGGACATCTCCTCCTTAAAGCCATTCTTGCAAGAGTGGGAGGCATAGCTGAACTATCTAATCCATAGAAACCAACAGAGAGAGTTAGGCAAAATTAGGAGACAGACGATTATGCTCCAAACAAAAGAGTAAGACAAAACCTCTGAGAAAGAACTAAACAAGAGATAGGCAATCTAGCCAATGAAGAAATCAAACTAATGACCATTAATGTGCTTACAAAATCTGGGAAGGGAATGGGTAAACACAGTGAGAACCTCAACATAAAAAAAAAAAAAAAAGCAAATATAAGAAACTAAAAGTAGACAGCTATATATACAGGTTACCATATACAAACCTCACGGTAACCACAAACCAAAAACCTAAAAATAGACACACAAAAAGTAATAAGAGAGGAATCCAAGTATAACAGTAAAAAAAGTCATCAAATCACAAGGGAAGAAAGCAAGAGAAGAAGGAATACAGAAGAACTACAAACCAACCAAAAAACAATGAACAGAATGGTGATAAATACATACCTATCAATAATTAAATGTAAGTGGACTAAATGCTCCAATCAAAATACAGAGCATGGCTGAACGGATGAAAAAACAAGACCCATCTTGGGGCTCTTGGGTGGCTCAGTCAGCTGAGCCTCCAACTCTTGGTTTCCACTCAGGTCATGATCCCAGGATTGTGGGATCAAGCTCTGCATCGTTGCTATAAGATTCTCTCTCTCTCCCTCTGCTCCTCTCCCCTACGCGCGCGCGCACGCGCACACACACCCACACACTCTCTCTCTCTCTCTCTCTCTCTAACACAAACAAAAACCCCATATATATGCTGCCTACAAAAGGTTCATTTCAGATTAAGACACACAGACTGAAAGTATAAAAGCCTGGAAAAAAGCTTTTCCATGAAAATGAAAAAGAAAAGAAAGTAGGGGTAGCAATATTTATATAGACATAATAGACTATTTTTTGAAAGTCATAATTCATTTCTTGAATGAATAGTATATGCAAGAATACCAGTAAAAGGAAACTAGTACTACAACCTTCAATTTTGAAAATAAAGCCAATAAACCAGGAACAAAACATACACGACAAGAATATTTGATTTCAACCCATAATGCATTCCTTATCTATAAATTAACCTAATTGTCTGTTAGAGCAAAACTGCCAGGCTTGGTCTAACCTTTAGTGTTTTGCAAAAAAGCAACAGCATTCTAGAATACTTTTTTTTGAGATATTTTAGATTCAAACATCTGTTCAAGCACATCGATTCTGATTCAACAGGAGATCTCCATATTCGTCTTTCTCTGATTGACCTATTTCCCTTAGCATTATACATTCTAGCTCCAACCATGTTGTTGCAGATGGGAAGATTTCATTCTTTTTCATTGCTGAGTGATATTCCAGTGTGTGTATGTGTGCATATACATACATACACACACACACACATACACATATATGTACACATGTGTATGTGTGTGTGTGTGTGTATATATATAAATGTGTGTCTATGTATATATATATATGTATGTATACGTATGTATATATTCTTTATTCATTCATCAGTCAATGGACATTTGGGTTCTCTCCATAGTTTGGCTATTGTTGATAGTGCTGCTATAAGCATTGGAGAGCGTGTACCCTTTTGAATCTGTATTTCTGTATCCTTGAGGCAAATACCTAGCAGTGCAATTGCTGGATTGTAGGGTAATTCTATTTTTCGCCTTTTGAGAATCCTCCATACTATTCTCCAGTTTGCCTTCCCACCAACAGTGCAAGAAGTTTCCCATTTAAAGAACATTTCTTACTAATAATTCCAGTAAGGCAATAAATGCTCCACAATAACCTTTGACATATGCTTGCAAAGATAACACTGTTTAATATCAATAATGAAAACAAAGCAAAAAAAGAAGAGGGGGAAAGGAAAGAAAAAAAAGATGCTTCAAAATTTCAAGCTAAAATATGCATAAAAGATAGTCGTGGCAGTATTTTTTGAAATGATGTACATGTCATGTACTCAGCAATGTCATGCTTGTTAAAACTACAGTTAAGGACTTACAAGATGAGCAGTAAATACACTGCTGAGGTCCATTTTGCTGCATATTCATACCACAATGTAATTTCTACCCAGAAGATGATGATGCTACTTGGGAACATAAGTACTGTACCATTTTTACAATGTAAGGCACTTTTTACTCCACATATGACAAAAGCATGGATGGAAGATCAAAATATTGGAAGTTTATAACCAGAAGTGATTTTTCATATGATTTCAATTTACATTTCAGCTTTTAACGGAAGACTGTTTAGTCGATCACACTGCAGTGAGAAGGGTGGGCAACCAGCCACTTATTCTAGCCAACCAAAAGGTCAAGTGTTATTCTAGTTGCTAGTGGAAGAAAAAGAGCTGAAAACACCCATACAAAGTTATACACTTGATTATATAGCAAATATATCAACTAACAGCTATAGTATTTGAAGTCCATGATATGATTATGGACTGGCAATTATTACCCCCAAGCACCTTCCATTTTTCCTAAGAACATCATTACAGTAGTTGTCCAGAAATGAAGGTGCTCTATTGTTCCATGAGTAAGTCTGTGGCATACCATGTAAAAATGATCAAGACACAGTGATTCAAAGACCTAAAACAGCAGGTTTCAAGCTGGTATAAGGGAATAAAGCACAGATCCTTTAGGAAGAGTCACACCACATGGTAAATGAACATCTAGATCTGTCATTGCACTTCAAGTCATGGTGAATTTTGAAAATTCATCTCTGTCTCTCTCTCTCTCTCTGTCTCTCTC